AATAAATAAATAAATAAATAAATCAATTTTAATACGGCTGAAAAACCACCTCATCCTAGTTCAAAAACATTTTGTTGAAAAACTTAATTGTTTTCGAAATTGACGTGTTTCCATTGAGCAAATTTATTTTCGAAATTCTAATTTGCGCATTTTCATGGTCAATGGAAACACAGCTACTGAGACTCCGGCTGCTCTTGGTTCTGGCCGGACTCGTGGGTTCTGCGGGCCTCTTGGACCCGGGCCCTGTTCTCACCTGGCGGTGCTGGAGCAGGTGGGGGAGGACGGGGAGCAGGGGTAGGAGAATTGTCTCGGGGGGTCCTCAGAGTCCACCAGGTCAGGCATGCTGGGCGAGGTTCCCACTGTCTCCTTGAGGACCAGCTCCGGGTCCAGGATGTAGAGGTGGTCCTGAGAGATCTCTGTCACGTAGTTCAGGTGTTCCTGAGGGCAAAAACCCAAACAGGTGGTTCTGCCAGGTCTTAAAGGGACAGTTCTAATCGGACCTGGTCATGTTCTGATCAGACCAGGCTGAGGACTGAGGGTCTGGATCTGCAGGTTTCTGGTCTTACCTGAGCCCGATCGATCCTGTAGAAGCGATCTGCAGTCGTACCTGAGAACAGAATGCAGAACCGGGTCAGGACCCGTGTCAGACCTGGACATGTGTGTTCTGTCTGGACTTACAGTCGAGGAAGCACCAGTTCAGGGACAGTTTCTGAGAGGACAGGCTGTCTTCGGTCACCGTGTCTCCGTCCTGCAGGGACACAAAGTGAGATAAAAACCAGGTCCTGGTTCAGGTGACCTCATGAACCTAGACTCAGAGTCTGAGCTGCACCTGGTCCTGGTGGTCCTGGTGGTCCTGCAGGCGCTCGATGTGCAGGCGGCACATCTCCAGGTCGCTGTCCCCGGGGACGACGATGAGTCCGAGCGGCACGGCTGCAGAGACACGTGAAAGAAATCAGGTTAATAAAAGAAGTCCTGCAGAGTCCTGGTTCTGGTTCTGGGTCTGGGTCTGACTCACAGGCCTCCTTCAGCTGGTCCTTGTCGTAGTGCAGAGCCTCGTAGGCTGCCATACTGATCCGGTTCACTGTGATCTGCAGCTTCTCTGGAACCGGCTGCTGACTACACACACACACACACACACACACACACACACACACACACACACACACACACACACAC